TAAATTAGTAACATCGAGAATTTTTTAAATAAAGTTTTTTTATTATACTTGTTGTATACGTGTTCTGAAAAAGAACACGTACCCAACAACTACATATAATAAAAAAACATCATTTAGGAAAATCAGATGTTACTACTAATTTATATCCCATTCACTTGATGCAAACTTTCTGATGTCATTGTATATAATTTATACAAACATCAGATGTTACTAATTTATCGTATTCACTTGGCGCAACAATATTAATAGTTTTATAATAAATAACACAAATAAAATTATAAGATCAAATATTATTTAAAAATGTTGTCCAATAATGAGTTGGAACAGAGCACGTACATGTGGTTATTGGCATTATTTACTCTTTTTATAAAAATGTGACATTTGTATATCTGTACGTGATATGATAATTAGGAAAATTGTAATTATATATCTAAACATACGCCCTAACATAAAAAAACCATACCTTCTTTTTACCTTTGTGAAAAATTCTACAAACGCTTTTTAAGGCGCTCACTGTATCACATTTAGTATCAAACGATTAATTTGTATTACAGGTCGGTCATAATGACACCGAAAAAGAAACGCAGCAAGTTGTGGGATTATTTCGAGGAATTGAAATCTTTGCTGGTAAAATGCGCAATTTGTAAAATACAAATTCATATGCCTCATCCATCGAACAGCCCAGCAATAATGATAGGACACTTAAATAGACATGGAATATTTTTCAATAATGACACATATACACTACCTGACGACTTGAGAGAATATTACTCGGAGTTACCGGGATATAAGGCAAAATGTAATGATTGTAGTAAAACAATGCCTTTTTTAACAGATATTATACGTTTACGAAAACATTTAAGAAGACATTCCACAAGAATTCTGAGTCGAGATGAGTAAGTACACATTCAAAAAATTATAATTATTAAAATACTAAAGACTATAAAATAAATATAATAATGATAAAACAATCAATAGCTGAAAAAACAAGAGCGAATAAAAGTTTTTATCGGGGCACATATGTAACACTTATTTGCAATTTCAATCATGAATGTGCCTCTCAAATCGTAATAATAATGAAGTATTTCAATTATTTTGCATAATTTAAATAAATGAGTCGCTTATTTACACGTTTACTCATACATCATTCATATAAACTAAAAATTTAGATTAGATGTTTATTTGTTTGACATTAATACTGCAGAAATTCGAAGCAGTTATACAGAGTGTTTCCTAAGTAAGTGCACAAACTTGAAGGGAATGTTCCTTATATATTTATGTATTTTTTAAAAAGAAAAAGTCCTCTAAACATGTGTCCTAAACTACTTTCTTTTCAAAATACAAGATGTCAAAGTTGTAAAAAAAAATGAAAATTTCGAAAATCTGGCTAACGTTTAAAGATATTTTATTCATAAAGGTTTTGTTACACATTGACGGAGTGTGCTAACAGAATTGACAATAACAAAGTATGTTTCTCATTTGCGGCCTTTTAGTAAACATAATTTGTTGCAGACATTTGCAGTTGCAGAAAATTTGTTATAGGGGAGCTGAACGCAGCAGAGTGCAAGAGTAAAGGCACATCCCGTGTGCGGCGTGTGTTCCTGCAATCCCGGTTTTTATAAAAAACAATGTGAGTGCGAGGGAAACGACAATGGTGCTGACAAATCGATCTCGATGACCGACTGTAAACCCGACAATCAAACCACCGAGATCTGCAGCGGTCATGGTACATGCAAGTGGCGTCTGCGATTGCGACAAACGACCAAATAACCCGCAAGAACTGTTCTACGGAAAATTATTGCGAATGCGACAATTTCGCTGCAATTGCCTGCCGAAAATGGTATGGCGAGACGTGCGATTGCAAGGAAACAAACAGCACATGCATCTCGCAAGAACGTTGAGATTTGCAGCGGACGCGGCAAGTGCATCTACGGCAGCTGTCACTGCCATGAGCGGAATAATATTCGATATTCCGCACAACATTGCGAGGCGTGTCCGCGCGTAATAAAGGAAATGATCTGGGAAGTTTATTGTTGGAAGAAATCGTTTATCGATAAGACAACATAAAAGAAGGCTCGAGATGTATGAATCTTTTTACATTGACATTTCTATACTATTCGACTTACCCGCATACAGGAGGCGATTCACATGCAATTAACATTATTGTGCATAACATACACATAGTTGAAAATTTAGAAAGTTTTCTACGAGAAGAGAAAAAGTTACTAAGTTGATTACATCTATTTATTAATTTTATTTAAATCTTATTTAATTTGATTTTTACTTTAGAAAATGTACGTTTCAATCTGTATGCATATATAATGTTCTACAGTTTTTAAGATATATAAGTAAAGGCTGTTCTTCCGAAAACATCCGTGCTCCGATTTAGGTGAAACTTTGTGAATAGATTTCTTTTAGATAAAAAAAGACATATTTTTGCGACTCCAAAGTTTAGCAACTTTTTTAACATCTTTAATTTACTGCCTCCGCGCAGACATTTTACAGGCGAAACGAGGTGCCACATGGGTTTTACAACTTTCCACGCGTGGAAAGCTCACGTATGTATTTTGAAGGCACACTATGTGTCTAGTTTATTAATAGTGGAGCCCCCCGCAGAGGGGTGGAACCTACTGCCTCCACAGTCTCCACGCATACACTTTTCACGCGAGACGAGTTGTCACATGGTTTCGTGGCGTGCTTTACGAGCTCGTTTATATATATACATATACATAATGAAACATTATATATTCTCTAGTTTCGCCAATAATGTTTATACGTTATTACTTTGACGGGTAAAACTTATGGTTGTTTACATTACTTGAGAGCTGTTTTGGTTTGTTATTATACTTAGTTTGCTCATAATATACTGAGTTAATTCGAAAAAATATTTTAAAAGTTTCTAAATTTTGAAGTCGCAAAAAATCTTTTTGGTACATGTCTTTTTTATCTAAAAAGAACCTATTTATAAAATTTGACCTAAATCTGAGCACGGACGTTTTTGGAAGTTTCGCCATGACGTTTGGTATCTGCAAAAAATATCGTACAATATTACCAGCACTTCGGAACAAAAGCGCACACAATTACTTTTTCAACATTTTCTGCGGAATATAAGGCCAATATGGGGCATATTAAAAAACATAAGTAGTCGAATTTAGGCCGGAAGAAAATTGGCCAATCACTCGGGAATTGTAAAAAAGATAAGGCTACGATGTTAAACTCTCGGCTGTAATTGGTCATTTGACTTACTGCTTGAGTCACTCTTTACATTTTTTTATATGTGTAGAGGAGACCGGGGCGAAGTCATCACTATTTTTTCGGTGCCGATTTTTAACAACAAATCAAATAATTTTAGTAAAATGTGGTATACCGTTGTAAAGAATGAACCCTTGGCTACAAAATTTATACAGACATTTTTGGTCTACGTCGTTTTGTTTAACTAGTATACAGTGAAAACGACAAAAGTGCAAAAATTAAAATGTCAAAATTGCCGGGGCGGAGTTGTCACTCCATTCTCGGACTAAATTTTAAATGAAAATTTATAATTCCGATCATGAAAAATGATAGGATACATTTTATTAATTATTTTTTAATAAAAAAATGAAAACACTAATTAAAAACACGATGGCGGAATATAATTACAAGAAAAGCGCACACACTTATGTGCCCTACGCTCGCACGTTTCTCACCAGCTTTATTCTGTCATCTCTGAGCACACGCAGCAGATATTATCCAAGTCCTCGCCGGAATCCGACCACTGCTACTTCTTTGACTTTGATGATTTTCGCCAGAAGCCTCCATGATATGGTTTGGTGACGACTTCGCCCCGGACACAAGTTTCAAGTTTGGTCGCTCATAAAATATTAGAAATCAATGAAAATAAAAAAACTTTTTTACTGGATTCGTGTTCAGCATGCATTATTCGTTAGAATCACTTACTTTGAGATTTGGAGAGACAATAATATTTAAGATATTACAAATTTTCGACGCGCAAAAAATATATGCTTTAGATATTGCGTTCATATTTGTTCGACACTAATATATAGAAATAAATCGTAAAATAAGAAACAGACACATTTAGTTTATACAATAACAATTAATAAGATAATAGATATTTAAGAAAACAATTCATATATTTTCTTTAACTTGCAATTAATCAAAGAAGCATAAATTGACTACAATATATAATTATATTCCTCATCTCTCATATGTTAATCACTCTCATTAAAAATTAAACTTACTAATACTAATTCATAAAATTTATAAAATTAATTGTTATTAATAAATTAAAGAACAGTTTCTATATGTATAAATTAGTAAACTAGTAAAAATGTATTAATCACAACAATTAATAAATTATGTAACAGCATAATTTGTAGGATATGTAAAACGAATAAACAAAATGTATAACAAAATTGTGTATTAAAGATTATTAATAAAGTTGCTGCAAGTATCATTTAATTTGTTTTTTGGAAAACATTTTAAACGTGATTATAAAATGTTAAACAATACACTTATTATTTATTTTAGTATTCTTATTTCTACGAAAATCAGCATCACGTTTATATTGCAATTAGTGCATGCATAATTATTTTTTATTTTTTATGTAATATATTAAAACAGTTTTAGTGTGGTATATACATAATAAAAAAAATCGCTGTCGAATTTTTTGCGTCTGCAAACGTATTCCAGAAGAGAAAAATGATATTTTTTGGCATTATAATACATATGATAAAATCAAAAAATTTCAATCAGAATAAAAATAAAACATGTAGATAAAAACTGCACAAAGTGTAAACGGTGCTGGGGGCTGGGAGATCATTGCAGTTTCTCTCTTTGCGTGTTATCTGTCGGAAAACTTAAGAATAGTTCATTATTAAAACGCTAGATGGCATCAGACTGATCTTTTTAAAATCTTAAATAAATTCTCAAGTTATAAATTCTACGAGTACGCAATACATGACGCAATACATAATGCAATATATAATGTAACGTAATAATCTTATGCTGACTCTTTTCAAGTATATAAAAGTATTTTATGTACTTTATATGAATAAGAGAAATGTATATATTTATTTTATATGTAGGATATTTTAAAATATGTGAGAGTAATTTCTAGGATGAATTCGAGTTTGAGAAGCAAGAATAATGAAGATTCGCATTTGTCATACTTGTTTCCAAATTACAGATATATATATATGTTTTATATTTCAATAATTTTCGTTATAAATTAAAATAGTATAACCGATTTCACTCTACTGTTTTTTTTCTTTGTATTTCATGTGTGATTTCACTGACTGTTTGTAAATACTAATTGTAAACGCTAGTTCAGCGATAATACAGCAAACAGTAATGTTATATTGATAGCATTAGTTAACAATAGTCTAATTAAAAATAATTTATAATCTTAATAATTTAATAACAGTATTAATGAAACAAATATACATCTGCATGCTCTTAATAAAATGTTACTTGTCCCATTAATATTGTCGTTGAATTAACAAGATTAATTTTTAATTAGATTAGCTTATAATGCTGTTACAACAGATCATCTTTTTCCCGCGTATATATGCAAATCTTCTTTCACCCCTCCCTCTTTTTCCATCCTTATTGACTCCAATCGATCTACGATCATGCTTATTAAACATCATTAATTATACGTCATTTATTTATTTCGGTTGCGATATTTGCGAGATGCCCGCGTCAAGAGAGCGTAAAGAGTTCTCAATTAAATTTCAGCAAAATTAAATTCGTCATCGTTCTGGTGCCGCGGGGAACTCAATCACCGTTCCCAGGAAAAACTGCCGGCGAAGGTGGAGCGAACTAACCGATTACCTAATCACGCGCATTACCACGACGCGTTTTATCTCGGAGTCATTTCCGCGGGATGCCGCAGTATCCTTTCGGATCGGCGAGCGTTCGTGTCGCGACTCGCCTCACTCGCCTCGCTCGCCTCGCTCGTGAAAAGTAAACGTTCGACGGCAGGGGAAACGATGGCACGGCGGACGACTATTATCGTCCACCACCTCCTCCTCCTCGTGACGGCGCGTCTCTTCGTGGCCACGACCTCGCAGCATCGCGACCGGGAGAGCCTCTGCGAATCGCGGCAGACCTGCGCGAGCTGCCTGCAAACGCCGCGATGCGTCTGGTGCTCCATGACGGTAATGAATATTTATAAGCGCCGTTAACGAGCGGTCTACTCCCGCTAGAGATGACACGCGGTGAGAATGAAGGAGAGAGAACCCCCTTCCCCGCGGAAGGAAACGTCGGAAAAGATGCGCCCACCTGCGATTACACCCTTACGACGGCGACGGACCCGTTCGCCAAAGACGTTGTCCGCGTTCCTCGCCGCGCCGGTGATTCATACGCCGAGTCAACTCACGCGATTGATCACTGTTTGCATGACTGTTTCGCGCGCGCTTATAGTACAAAAACGTTTCTTTCGTCTTTTCTATCAGTTCTCTGATATCGAAATATAATCCGGAAGAGAAAAATACCATTCGCGCCCAACTGAATGGAATATACACATATATCCTCGCATATATCCGATGTGTTTTGTGAGAAATACTGGAGGATCTGTTTTTGAGAAGCTTACGTTATA